CCGCCACTACTTGCTACACGCCAACCTCGAAGCCTCAGGAGGCAGAGGAGCGAGCCCCTTCCGCGAGCTCCGGCGGGATGGGGAGGAACCGCGGCGCTCGCCACCTTCCGCCTCTCCTGGAGCGGCGCCCGCGGGGCGGGGCGGGGCGAGGGCCGGAGGCGGGGTGTGCGTCGCTGCGCCTGCGCGGCGGGAATCGGCCCGGAGGGGGCTCGCTCTGGGAGTCGAAGTCAGTCGGTGGGCGGAGACCCCGGCATTCCGCGGTGGTACTCTACCCGAGCGCGAGTCGGGTACGTCGCCCTCCCGGGGCAGTGTGTGGCCGCGCCTCCCTCCCTCGCCTCGTGAGCCTCTCTGACCGCTCCTCTGCCAGAGTCCCGCGTCTCTTCCTAGCGTGGCCGCTGCTCCCAGCCCACCCTGGATAATGGCGACAGCTGAGGGTGAGTAACAGGCATCCCCGGGGGTCCGCCGGGGACTCCCTGCCCTCCCCGGCCGGCCGGCCGGGTCCTGGCCTTGAGCTCCTGGGCTTGGCGCGGACACGTGCGCTGCCGTTGGCCCCGACCTCAGCCTTGGGTCCCCGTGTATCCGCCCCCTAGGCCGGTGGCGCCTCTGAACCCTGCGTCGTAAACAAAGCGCGCTCAGGCCTCCCCGAACTTTCTGAAACACGCAGAACCGCATCTGCGATGGGGCAAAGAAAGCAGGGGGAAAGGACTGTTAGAACGAGAAATGGCCAGGGGTTGAAGCGGTTCCTGGAAATTAATTTTGTAATCAGTAGGTACTGGACACAAACACAGAAACATCTAGTGTTGACCCTTCAACTAGATCACTCTTCTTGTTAGGTTAATAATCTTCTATTCCAGAAAGTTAATCATTGAACCTCCTGAAAATTTTGCTATTTCCTGTCCAGATTTTGATGCCATGATGGCTTTGGAGAGCTCCGAAACCACCAGGCAAAAAGTTTCCTTGCTTCACCTTGCATTTATCATATTTATATAATCATTTTGTTCACAAGTGATTAGATCCTCAGGAAAGATTGTGCCATTTATGCTGGTAAAACGTTAGGGTGTTTTCCCCAACGCATCCAATTTCTAAATTTATGTTGGACCAAAATCCTTCTATTGGTGGGTCCAGTACATTGTCTTCCACATAAAAAAATTGAATTTAGGTTAAATATTTTAAACTAAACAAAAAGTTCAAATAACAATAACTGCATGAAATCAAGGTGATAGATAAGAATTTTTCTTACCATACCTCTAAACTGGTAGAATCTCAAAAATCTTGACTCTCACTTCCTTCCATCTTGCATGTTCTTGGCAAGTTAATCTTGCCAAAATGTCACTTTTATGGTTTTTAAAAGGCACTTCCTTGCTCAAAAATGTGCAGTGGCAATCCAAGAGCTATTAAAATCCAATCTGAAGAAACCTTTTCATTCACATCCTGCATACTGCTTACTTCCTACCCCTCACGCTTAACTTTGATTTTTTTCTATTGTGATCCTAAGCCTACGTTCCAGTAAGGTTAATTCACCAATTAATTTACTGTTCTCTCTCTGTGTTTATGCTGCATCTTCCAGAACAATGTTGTCAAACAGAAATATAATGTGGAACCTTATGTCACTTTGTTTTCTAGTTGCCATGTTTTAAAAAGTAAAAAGAGGTGAAATGAATTTTAATATATTTTATTTAACCTCCTATATCCAAAATAGTATCATTTCAACATAAAATCAATATAAAAATTGTGATACTTTGTGTCCTTTCTTTATCTTGAAATCCACTGTGTATTTTACACTTGACTTACCTCAATTTTGAGTAGCCACATTTCAAGTATTTCATAGCCACATGTGGCTAGTGGCTTCCTTATTGGACAGCATACTCATAGGTGTTTTTACCTCTTTGTGCAAGTTCTATACTTTTCAAGACTTATGTTTCAGTTCCGTGAAGTAGTCTCAGTCCTCATCAATCTTTTCTGAATTCATCCACTAATTTTTAGTAGGCATTTCAGTATTTGTAGCACGTCTCCTATGATTGTTTCTTAAGTTATTTCTACCCATTGATTGGACTAGGTAATAAATACTGTTTCACCTAATGACTAGGTAATAAATACTGATTCAACTAAATTGGGAAGGAGGGGCAGTAGGTACAAACTTTTTTTTATTATAAATATATCTTTATTGATTTCAGAGAGAGGAAAGGAGAGGGAGAGAGAGAGATAGAAACATCAAGGATGAGAGAGTCACTGATCAGCTGCCTCCTGCACACCCCGACTGGGGATCGAGTCCGCAACCCGAGCATGTGCCCTGAACCAGCAATCAAACCCCAGTCTTCTAGATCTTAGGTCAACCCTCAACCGCTGAGCCACGCCCGGCCAGGCTGGGCGGTACAGAATTTGTTTTGTCTTCTATCTAACCTAGGCAGCATCTTGACTTTTTCCTGTCTCTTTTATCTCCTATAGTGAATCAATTGTTCTTAAACTTTGTACCTTTTAAATATCTTGAGGCTTTTTCCCAAGGCTTTTTCCTTAGACCAGGACATTTCATGCCTGTATTGTTGTGACAGGATCCTACCTATTCTCTTTCTAGTTTTCTTACACCCTTCCTCCCCCTTCTTCATTTCATTCTCCACACAGCAGCCATATGACCTAACATTGAAGTCTGTCATTTTACTAAGTGCTTAAAAGCCACATGGTTGTTCTTAGGATAAAGTTTAAACTCTGTCAACATGGCTTATGAGGCCTAAAGGATGAGTAGTGAAATGGAAGGGAAGGAAACAGTGTTCTAAGTGTAGGAAAGGGCACGTCCAAAGCCTGGAAGGGGGATATAGAAATTTGGTTACAGAGGCTAGGGTTAGGAAATGAATAGAGACATCTGAATTGGGACCACTAAGCTGGGACTATTTTGAAGGGCCTTTTAAACCTTGTTGGTGGGTCAAGGCATTATAATAGGAAATGAGATTCATCCTCTAATTTAGGTACCTTGCAGTGGCAACTGTTAAATTGTAACTGATTTGTTTAATGGCTACCTCCACTAGCTGGAGATGACCCCCTTCCCCACTCTTATGGAAGTCTTATCTCCTAACATTTTCTAAGCTGCTGCCACCCTCCCCTGCCCAACAGCAATGTACACATATACAGTGCTCCAAATATACTAAAGTTCTGCCATGTATTCTTTCACTCCATGGTCTTTTTTCATTACCACTACCTACCCCTTTCCCTCTTCTGGTTAAATTTTGATCATTCCTCAGATCTCAACCTAATCCTCACTTTGTTCAGACTTTATGTCTAGATTAGGTTAGGTGGCCCTGCTATGATCCCAGTCTGTATATTTCTTTCATTATACTTACTGTGATCCCATAGTCTGTATATTTCTTACATTATACTTACTGTGATGTCTTATTTAATTTCAGCTTCTCTCAGACTCAGGTCACTTGATAGCAGGAACTTCATCTCCTTTACTGGTATATCCCTACTACCTGACACATGGACACTAAAAAGTGCTGATACTGAGAATGAGTCAGTGCTCTGGGAGAATGAGGAGTGATTTCTCCCCTTGGAAATGTTAAGTCCTTGAACTTCTGTTATCTCTGATCATCATCAAGATCATTCTTCCTGATGATTAGGGTCTACTTTTTAGGTCTTACAACCTGCATCAAAATTGAATTCTGTAGTCCTTACTGCCTGATAGTTTCCTGCAACTGTTAAGAGAAAGGGTTGGTTAAGGGTGGGGGTTGGGAAGAGGACAGAGAAGTAGAGAAAGGGGCTTCCGGATGG